AGACTCTATCTGTACTATGCTAATCTAATAGATGTACTGTACTCTGGGAGAATCTAGGGAGCGGCTATCTTTGGTCTCTTCTTCTTCCCACGCTCCTGCTCTGAAGTATGTTTCCTCTGGTCTCCCCCCGGAATGCGCTCCCTCCTTCCTGAGAATCTGGATCTGTGCTGCATTCTGTCACACACACACCCTACATAGATACATTCCATCACATCGACCCCTTCATGAAGTTTCAGACTGACCCCCAAACATTTAAAATATAAAAACAATTTCATAAATACTACTTTAATAGTACTATAATAATAGCAACAACTAAAAAGTCTGGATAGTGGACATTGCAATGCCTGGAGACAGCAGAATAAAAAAGGAAGAACTGGAGAAAATCACAAAATATAAAGATCTGCAAATAGAAGTAGAACAACTATGGCAAAAGAGAGCAAAGATAGTACAGATAGTAATAGGCACCTTAGGTACCATCCCAAAACATCTGGAGCACCACTTGAAGACCATCAGCATTGACAAAATCAGTCCCTTGCAAAAGGCAGCTTTACTTGGAACAGCTTCCATCCCGCAACGATACCTTTAACCCCATCAAACAACAGCATCTGCCCATCCCAGGTCCTTGGGAAGGACTCGATCGGGGGATCAAAATGCCAAATCCAGTCTAAACATCTGGCTGACTGTGTGACTAACTATAATAATAGTAATTACTACTACTACTACTACAACTCAAGGCCGCTCTCGCTGGCGGCTGACCATCCAACTCTGGTAACACTGTCTGGCCACTAGCCACCTCACTTTCAGAACTAAGGACTGGCATGGATCTCTACCAAGACCCCAAAAGATTAATTGACCCCACTCGACCTTCCATCATTTATCAACCACCTATTGACCCACCCAGACATATACTAACCCCCCTTTGACCCCCCTGACATTTAATTACCCTTTGAATGGTCTCATTGACCCTTAGGGGTTGATACTGACCACTTTGGGGGACTTTGATCTACAAGGATGCCAAGTCCAGTTTCTTGGTTGGCCACTGACAGTTTAATCCCCAACTTTTTAAAGTGAAACATGGATTCAGTGTGTATCCCTTTATACTTGCTGGTAATAAACTGCATTTGCCATTTGTGGCCTAGCCACCAAATTGGGAGAGATTGTGACTTTTGTCACCAGTCCATCAGAGGACCTCCTCTACAATCCTATGATGGCTTAACTCACTCAAGAATCTTGGATGAACCTTATCAAAAGCTTTTTGAAAATCCAAGTATACCATGTCAACAGAGTCACTTCCATCCATGTGTTTGTTGATACCTTGAAAGAACTCACATCAGTGAGGTAGGACCTGTCCTTGCAGAAACCTTACTGACTCTTCTTGTTCCCCTTCAGCTCTTTGCCCACGAGCTCTTTCAGATCAGCTGCCTGAGATGGGAGAGGTGATATCTAAAGGAGAAGACCTGGCTTTTAGCTTTGAGGTCAGGGACCCAGGACCTTCAGAAGGGCCGACTCTGCCCTTTTGGGAGAAGGAGGAGTGAGTGAAACCTGCAGGTCTAGCCATCTCTCAACACCATTGCCAGGTCCTGCAGCGCCATCACCAGCAACTGGTTCTCTTGCTGGCTGGTGATGTTGAGAAGTGGAGAGATGGCAACCTTCCATGCCCGGGAATTGAGGACACTGTTCTCCAGCTGCAAGCAGAATAGAGGCAATTGAGATTTGCAGTGGGGATAACAAAATCTATCCCTGTTTAATTTTCTGCTGCCTCGGAGACAAATACTCTGAGATCTCAGATGCACAGTAATTCATTTTTAAATTAATCTCAGATGTGCATTCTTTTCCTTTGCTGAGTACACAAATGTGTTCCAGAATGCCAGTACCAGAATCAGGCCTATTTAAAAAAAAAATAGAAATAGTATGCATATACGAGAGGCATGTTGGAGAGAAAACGTGTAAGTAATTTACAATTGTGGAGTCCTTGGGGCTCTCTGAGCTTGGTTGTTTTCTTGCAAACGTTTCATTTTTCTAGCGCTTTTCATCATTCTAGCACTGAAGATGTTGAAATCCACACCTCCTAAAGTTCCCAAGGCTGAGAAACACTGGTCTACTCAGACGATGAAACCAATATCAGTCTCCAAACAATTTATTTGTAAGGGTGTGCAAAGCCTGCTCAGTCAGACAAAGGAACTTGAGCAATGCTCCCAAGGTGGAAGAGCCCCTCCCACTACCCAATACAAGCTATATCTACTTTACAGGAACAAAGAGACTCAAATTACAGGTTACTGATTGCAAGACAGGTGTCAAACAACTTCATACACAGATATAGATTAAGTCGGGGTAAGATAAGTATCATACTACATTTTACATACTTACATGTACTAAGCAGTTTCTTATCTCTATTGTACAATGCACCAGGCTGTACTAAGTGCCGCTGTGCTGTGTCCATCATGGTGCTTAACTCTAACGCAGCAAACACAGACCTCTCTATTTTCCCCCAGGAAGGCCTCTGGAATGGGTATGACAGTACAATATTGCGAAGCTGAAAAATGCAGGAAAATCTCCCTTTGGGATGTTAGAATAAATGCCTGATTTAGCCAAGCTGATGGCCTGGTGTACATAAACATGGCACACAGCATAACAATGGAGACAGACATAATCCAGCAATTAAATTGGATTATTTTCGATTGTGAATGCTAGCGGAAGACACCTCAAGACCCATCTCCCACCTGCCTGTCTATCTTTGCAAACATGATTCTCACGCACGTTTCCTCGGGAGGACATCTCACTCCAAAGAGTTTTGAGCACACGGGCACTACAGCCCAGCAGCGCTATCGTAAATGCCTTTATTAATCTCCAAACAGCTGAATGGGACTTACTCCTTAAGCACCCTGATGATTAAGCAGATCCTTGAGGACCTGCAGACACGTATAAACAACTCGGGTCTACAGTGCAGAAAGAGACACGTGTTTCCAGGATTCTCCAGCTCTCACTCTTTTCACCTTTTAAAAACCATCCTATCTTTCTTTGCTGCATTTAGAACAAAGCAATAACCAGACCCAGATCAGGAAAAGCATCTTAGGCAGTAAGGAGAGAAAGGGGCTCACCCTGTTAAGTCTCAGATTTCAACACTCTTGGCTTGCAAAGTTTCTCAGCTGCACCGTTTACAAACCCTGCTCCGTTTTAACTCCCTCAGCTGCTCTTTAGGAAATGGGCTGCTTAATGCCTGGTCAATGTGGGTTGGCTCGGGGGG